AATGACGAGCTCAAGCACGCCCCCGATTATTACAACACGTATACAACACGTTTTTCCACACGTCTGCACGACCTTTCCTACCCCTACGGCCCGTCATGGCCGAGCTGCTCTACACTCCCATCACACACAACTGAGCCACCCGAATTATCGATCATACTCCTCTGCGCATAGACTAAGCTATAATGCAATATCTTCCCCAAGTGTTCAAGCTTGCATGAAACACTCCACTCTTCACCCCTCTCCGGCGCTTGTCAGGAATGTCGGTCCTCGCTACAGTCGGCGAGGGAGCAGATGGAGAGGGATTCTGCTCAGGCGGGGGGCGGTCGAGGAGGCTGCCCGCAAGGGGGCAACGCAGGGGAAAGAGACGGGGCCTCAAGCCCAGCAGCAGCAACTTCCCCAGGGCTCCCACGCGTCCACGGCCAGCGACGCCAAGCTAGGAAAGGAAGGGTTCGGCCTGAGGCACATGGAGGAGGCGATGCTTCGGTCAATGGAGGAGTCCAAGCAGGACGGGGGGCGTAACCCGCAACAGGGAAAGGTTTCGTAGGCACCGTGGGCCAAGGCGACAGCAGCACCGGGTGGGTACATGCATTGTTGCTCGAATTAGGATCATCGCATCCAAGCGCTGTAGGCTCGATTTGAACCTTGTCGTCAAGGGGCCCTGAACTCAGCTCCCTGATCCTGTGGGGTATCCACATACTGCTCTGGTATTTAGGGGGGTTGCGATATAGACGGGCAGGCGAGCACCCGTCGTACGTAGCGAAGCGAGTGAATCATTCAACGTACTCTAGCGTTCTCGACGGAATCTAGAAGAAACAGACGAGGCCGACCGCAGCCACGAGTGTGCCGTCGAAGTCAAACACATGGCAGAACGCCCTGTAGCAAGATTGACCTGAGTATGATCGGGCTCTTTAGGCAGCAGCATCGTTAGTGCCCTCACCACCGTCAACCCAGGCGTTGTGACCAACCCCTTCGCCACCCACCCGCTTCTTCCCATATGGTGCCAAAAGTGAGGAGGAGGAGGGAGAAGAAGAAAGAGGCCTTCCCTACAGCGTCGACCAACCGGTGGGCGGTTTTCGCCGAAGACGAGTATGATGACGATTAGGACGAGGGCAAGGGAGCATAGGGTGAGGTCTCTGCTAGGTACTACTGCAGTCGATGCACCTATCTCAGGAAGCAGGACCATCCTCTCGACCCTTCACGCCCCCTTCCTGTGGTCGGCGAAAGTCTTGCGGGTTCCGCCCCGGCGTTACGAGGGTCAAGACGTTCCCTGCAGCCTGTGATGGAAAGCGATCTACTCTAGCTGTCCATTTTCGTGATCAAGAACAAGTTCCTCTTCGTTCGCCCTCCAGGGTTACTCGTGCACTCACTCTTCTTCCACCCGGTTCTTCCCCACGCCAAACATTGCAGGAACAACGCTCGCCGACGCCACGCCCGTTAGGTCGCCCCCCGGCAGGGGTCGAACCCGCGGCAAGTCGCCGAGCCCGAGTCGCCACCGGGCCAACAATGAACGCGAAGAGCCCTAGTCCGACAGGGCAGGCGGCCGTGTTGCACACTCGGGGCTGTGCACAGGATGCAAGGGGCCTCGGATGTAAACTTTCTGAAATATTCTGCCGCGCGAACCCTTGGCATTTCGAGGAGACGAGGTCCCATGTGTCGCTGTCGGAAGTAGGTCAGGGATCGTACTGTGTCATACGTAATGATATCTATGCTAGAAGAGAACTGAAGGGTTTGAAGAAGACCTCGCCTTTCATTCATATTGGTACGCGTAGATAGTCCTCTTAGAGCGATGTGCCTGGACAGACAACCAGCTTGATCCTGTTGGTGTTGGTCGCGTGGCGTCAAGAGGGCTCGCGTCATGGACTGAGAAATCACGGACTGGGGCCAACAGTCAACTACAGTATCTGATGTTTCGCTGCCGGCACCACGAGGGGATTCTTGCTCCATTCACCGTACATGCTGCTCCCAAGCGTCAAGTATCGAATTCACCGGGCAATAGGACTGGTAGTGCGCATACGCAACACGAGTAGTCCAGTACCAACGAGGAGAACATCAAGGAATCGCTCGACATGGTGTGGCAGGAGTCAGTGCAACAGCAAAACTGACGTTGAGCCGCATTGTTCACAAAAGAATATAGTCCAACTCAGCTACATTTGCCGAAGTATCTCGAGGTTCCAATTTGAAAGGTGGCAGCCCATCCAGTTGGATCCCATGTATTGCAGATTGGTGGCCATGTTTGCGTGTTTGCTCGTTAGTGGTTTCTCCACCGTGTGCCTTTATCTGTCTCGTATGTCTTGATATTTTCGGCCTTGTCCCTTTTTGTCCTCGCTCTTTTTCGTTTCATTTTCTCTTTCCTTCCCGCTTCCTTATATTTTTTTCGGTTCTTCTCTTTTTTCTCTCTTTTTCTGTGCCAGATGGCCTTGTCTCTGCTTGCGTTGCGAAGTACAAAGATTGAACCTAGGGGGTGTAGCTCTTTCTCTCTGGCCCGTGATGGCTGACTCCTAGTTTCAGTTGTTGCCTCGCATAGCGCGCAGAGGGAGCGGAGGACTCCAGAATACCTGTCGTTGATTTCCATGGACTTGCGGACCCCTCGGGGCCAGTTTACTTGCGTGTACCTTTTAGGGTAAGCTAGGCTGTGACCACGTGAGTCGACCGCGTCAAGGGTTGGATCAGTACGGATGTATGAAGTTTCTGGGTGGAGAGAGATCGGAACGGGTTTATTGTGAAGACAACAACAACAATAACAACGGCCGCAACTCCGTCGGCAACATGAGACGCCAAACCTGCCTCAACAACAATATCTCCTTCCCCATGTCTGCCATCGAAACCGTCCCCCTCTGAAAAGAACTACCCAAAGAACACTCTGTACTGAATGCTGTAGTCCTGACTGCATATCCCAAAGTGCTATGTGCAGCCTTCCAGTGGATCAACTTCGGTGCACTACGGTACCTCGCCACTGCCCTCACCGCATTCGCGATATCCAGCCTAGTCAACAAGGCAATCCAAGGCAGCAGCAAACCAATCGTCGCGCGAAACGGGTGCTCTACGCTCGGCTCGTCCACGTCGAAGCCCCAAAGTCTCCAGGTCGTGAGCAAAGGAGTTGCACCATATCTCTCTCCCAACTCTTCCGTGTATGTCTGCTGTGAAATCGTCAGCCGACCTGCCTCCCTGTCCCTGTCGTAATAGCAACCGGGGTAGGTAGGAAGAAGGGTCCTTCTGTGTTCCCACGGGTTGAGTAAACGGCACACAAGTGCTGTGAGCGCTGAGTTGACGTGAAGACGAGAAAAAAAGAAAAGAAAAAGCATGGAGTTGACAGAGTCGGAAACAGGCCACACGGCCACAAGACAGCAAAAAGAGTCGCTTTCTGTCAGAGAGGGAAGTACACCACAACTGATTTCTCTCTCCCTAGGGCACCGATCGAAGCCAGACTGGTCAGGGCGTGCTCTCTCTTCTTTGCTCTCTGCCGGAGTAGATTTTCTTGGCAGGAAATACTCTTAATCGACGGAGAGAGGCATGCGCGTAGTGTACATTGCTTTTTCGAACTGTGATTTTTTTCTAGTCTGCATCACTTGAGAATTGGCTAACGTTGTGAACGCCTGCAAACACTTTCCATCAGACAGCTTGTGCACACGCAGGCGACGACTTCGAATGAGTGGATCAATGAGCTGCTGAGAAGATCTACTCCAACAGAGAGCAACGAACAGAGAGCACGCCCTGGCCGGCCGGTCTGGCTTCGATCGGTGGACCAGGGAGCGAGAAATCAGTTGCGGTGTCCTCCCCTCTCTGACAAAAAGCGCTCTTTTTGGTGCTCGTGGCGGTTTGGCCTGTTTCGGCGTCTCCATGCTTGGTGTGATGCGATATGTTTTTTTTACGCACGCGTGCCGAGCGACCATCAACGACCAGCGTGCAGAAAAGCAAGCCCTTCAGCGTAGGGTTGCACGGAGCCCTTGATGGGAGCGATACGTCAAGAACTCAGGTCGCGCTCGCCGATGATGTCGTCTGGGTTGATCTTCACGCACACCCGAAGAATCCGCCTGAAAAATCCGGTTCACTAAAGAACGGCCGGACTTTTACCCAGCCGGAACTTTGCCGATCTAGTCCACCACACGGATTTTTTTTTTCCGGGGGTTTCCCCTATAGGGTGTAAACTGCCGGTAGGCGGCCGTTTTCCGGTAGCGGTCTTTTTTTCCGATTAAGGCGATTACGCCGCACTTCAAACCGGAAAATGGGCACCGGAAAGTTTTCGTTGAAGGCCGGATATTTTTTTTGAACAAGGAGATTTTTCCTGTTGGAGAAGAGGGCAGGGTGGCGAAACGACACCAGGTGCTACAGCACACCACACTGGCTTCGAATCTGTACGACGCGAAGGCCGAATACGTCTGAGATCGCAACTGAGAGTATCGGAGGAGGCTTGTTCGGGAGGGTGGTGGAACGTGGCATGCTTTCCCGCGCCGCGCGCAGGAAGTGATCTGACCTGATACTACGTGGAATTCTGGGCCTCCAAAAACGGAGCAAGGATTGGGGGTAGCTGAAAGCAAGGGTACACGAAGGTGGGGATACGCGCAGTCGCCGCGGGGCGCGAAGGCGTTCTCCGCCTCCCGCAGCTGCGCTAGGGCGTTGCGTCCTGGGCGTACGCCGGCGTCGGCTCGAGGAGGGAGCGCGTTGTTTGAGGAGGGTTTTATCTGCGGCCACCGTCTTGTTGGAGTCGTTGTGCTCGTCATGGACTGTACTCCGACGCCTCCGCGACGCCAGTCAGGCAGGCGAAGCACGCCTAGGCACCACAACCCAGATGAGGGGTACGGTAGCCCCCCAGATGGGTCTAGGTTGGCAGTAGAATTCGCACTCGCACGTCGAGGTGGGACCGCCACCACCCCCTTCTCCGTGGCATGCCCTGTGCCTTGTCTCTTGGCCCCAGAATTCAGTACGAAATGGGGGTACTCTATAGATGGCCAGAGAGATGCTCTTAACGCAAGACAACCAAGCAAGGTAGACAACAGGGGCCAGTTAGCACACACTTCACATGACAACGCGGGGACGTGTCGCAATAACACCAAGACAGACTACCGGCGGACATCAATGCGACGGGGCACAGGTTGTCTGGACTTAGCAAACCGTTGTTGCCACCGGATGGAGCCTAGAACTATCTTGGGCTCGAGCTTCTACCCGCTGCCATCGTTGTTGGGGCGCCTGGTTCTAGGGACACTCGAAAGTGGAGCACTGAAGTGAAAGATGGCCACCGCCGGCAAGTTGTCCGACCCCTGCCGCGCTACAATCCACGTGGGTTTTTGCGCGCTGCTTGAGCATCCTAGTGCTGTTGGTTTGGGGAGAACGTGCGGGAATTATCCTTCCGCCCTGCGTGGACGACTGTCGTATTCTTCAAGGGGACATCCAGAGTTACGTTGATGCTCGCTCCATTTTCGGGCGCTTTCTTGCTGGTCGGGGCGCGTCCAGTTTGGTGGTGGTTTCTACACGCGACCAACATTTTGAGACCCCCCCGGCGACCACCCCTCGGTGTTTGCCATCGGGGTTGGGTTTTCGTCGTTTGGCAACGACGTTGTTCAACAAGCCGCCCCCACCGGTGTTTGCCATCGGGGTTGGGTTTTCGTCGCTTGGCAACGACGTTGTAAAACAAGCCGCCCCCCCCGGTGTTTGCCATCGGGATTGGGTTTTCGTCGCTTGGCAAAGACGTTGTAAATCAAGCCAATTCACTTCGTGAACTCGGCAACCAGGTTACCGTTTTCATTTTTTTACCTCCGTTTTGTTGTTTGGCGGTAACCATAATGGTGGTCGAGTCGATAATGTTGTGCGGGGTGGAGAACCCTCGCTCCGCGCAAGGGGGATGATCG